TCTGAATGATATTAATCATCGAAAGTGAAAGGAAGTAAAAATTCAGTATTGTATAGTTACATATACTCCTTTTCTATTCTTTAACAGTTATATTCACCCTCTGATAAGAGGAGAATAAAAAAATCACCATAAATTTCACTTGATTAGAAATAGCTTCGCTATATCCAGGTGCGTGGTAGTATGACTATATTCTCTGCTGTTCTGCTGGTTTTCAAACATTGCTTCCTTACAAGACCAGAAATCAACAATCCGAAATATAGTCGACACTGGTGCCCAGTTCGGATTGACCGCACCTTTCTTTTTCATTATATGATACTAATAAAAACAATTCCGATTTTTTTTGCCATGTTTTGACAAATTCCCTTAAAAACAAAAAGTTTTTCATCTTGTATAATAGATTATCAGAAACTCGAGAAAAAACTCAACTACTCGATAGGTAAATTTTAAAAAAATCGGAAATTATCTCAATGTCTATCGGTCTTGATCGAATCGTCGATCCAAATGTACCTGAATGGTGTTTTTGTCACATTTGTAAATGTTCATTGTGGAAACCGCGTGTATGTAAAAAATGCGAGAGTGCATTTTGCAAGTTGTGTATTGGTCAATATTTACAAAACTCAAGATCGAAATCTCGTAATTCTGTGTCCATTTAATTGTCAATACGAAGAAAAAGGATGTTCACAACAACTGCATACTCATCCATCACGTATTCGTATTCGTTGTCGATATCAAATATTTAGTTGTCAGAAAGTATTACGTTATGAATCTTTAGAACAACATGAGAATAACGAATGTGAATATCGATCTCTATCATGTACTAACTTTGATCCAGTACGTACTGTTAAAGAATTTGAACAACGTCAGCCTGACTGTGTTACTACTGATATTAAGTGTGAATTATGTCAACAAACAATGAAACAATCACAAAGAGAACAGCACTTTGTCAATTGTGTGAGTGAACAGTTTGACAAACTCAACAACTTTAAGAACAAGCAGAACGCCGAACTAAATAGGATACAACAACAGAATAAGAAGTACGAAGATATTCTTAAACTTTTCGAGACAAACAATGTATCTGCAATGTCTGCAAGAGTTAGTGAAACATCAAAGTTGACGGTTGAACATGGTTATAAATTGAGAATTTTGCAAGAAGAACATGAGAGAATGCGTGCCAATTTGTGTACAATCGAAAATCAGTTTCGTACGAATGAGACACGACAAACACCCGAACTCCAGACGGCTAGGAGAGAGCAAAGCCTTGTTAGTAATGCACTTTGTGACCAAGTCAATGAAATTAGACAACAATTAGAATCTTTAAAAAATACAGTAGAAACGATTCGTCTCACGCATGAAAACACTCGTACTCGTTTAGATAACACTGAATTGAATAGACAAAATATGAATTGACGAATAACAGCTATTGAATCTCCATTACTTTGCTATCGTCAAAGATTAGGATACGCAGGAATTATTCTACTGATTATTCTCATTTTCATTCTATTTCGATGCTGCTCTAATGTTAACAATGAGTAACAAAAATGGCAATTATATAACAAAAATATAATGCCATTATCTATATTAATATACTTATGCTAATTTTTCATTTTCAGTATATAAGTATTCATTTGTTTCTTTCTTCAAAAAGAAAGAAAAACAATCTACAGTTTTGCGTATAAAGCCTTTCTTCTTGTGATTCCTTAAGTGAAATAATAAATAGATAGTCAAAAATAAAAATAAAGAATGTCAAGCATTTAATGGAATACGGGCATTGCGAGGGGAACAAATACAATACAATTACAATTATGAAAATTACCGAAAGAAAAAAGTACCGAAAGAAGGTTATACATAAAAAAAAACAAGCAAATGATAAATACAATTTTTTTTCTGGATACTTCTTTAAAAGAATTCACTCTATTGGAAAAGAGATTTTTTAGTGGAAAAAGGTTAATTGAATGTACAAAAGAAGCACAAAGAAAAAAAAACTAATCAAGCAAGCATTTTTCATTGTTGTTGACCATGTGTGATCACTTGAATTCGAGTCGAAATACAAAAAAAAAGTAACAATTTCTTTCTTTTCAATGAAAAAAAAAACATACTTGAGCACGTTTTATCGAAGACTGTTAGTCGCGTACTACACCGGCTGTGGATGTCGGCATTGACGTAGGTGCGGTTTTTTCGTTTACCTACATCCACATTCCTCGTTTAAAAAAATATACATTTCATTGTTGATTATGCATACTGTGAAGCGCTCTGAGAGAAGTGCATTTATCAATGTTTATGAATAAGCGGTCGAATTAGGTCATCAATCCCTGGATCCGGGAGATATTGTTTTCGTTGATTTGTCGGATCGTTTCTTCAGATGGATAATATTTTTGATACATTGTACATCCTTCCCTATAATACTGAAGTGCAAGAGGATACTCATGGAGGTTTTCATATATAGAACCAATGCTATTCAAAACATAGGCGACATTTGAATGCTCGCAGTTTTGATAAATAATCAATGCCTTTTTATAGTAATCTAGAGCCTTGGCACAATATTCTTCATTACTTGTTATTTTGTTCTTCTCGGCAAAAACATCACCAATTCGCATAAAACTTTCTGCAACGTTGGTGTGATCTGATGGTAGACACTCTGCCTTCATACTCAAACTTATCAAATAGCATTCTAGAGCAGCATCAAATAAATCTTTGTCGAAAAAGATATTGCCAATTGTATCTATCCAATCGGCATACTGCATACGAGGATGAACTTGATCAATTATTCTGACAGCTTTCATGCGATGTTTTAATCCAGTTGTCTCATCGCCTTGACGGCACTGACATATACCCATGTTATCATAAATACGAGCTAATTGAATGAGATTCGATTTTGTAGTATCTCGTGTTTCATTTTCAAGAGCATTTTCGAAATATTTGAGTGCGTGACTATAATCATTCATATCACAATAAGCAATGCCAATATTAGTCAAACAATCCGTAATAGTGCTATGCCCATCAGGATATATAGTTTCACTGATTTTCAAAGCACGTTGATAGTAAATCAGTGCATCACAGCATCGATGCAGTTTAATCAATATTAAGCCAAGATATTTGAAAATATCAATTAAATTCGTATCATTGACATTAGGTAGTAAAGCTTCTCTCATGTCTAGAGACTCTTTCAGATATTGAAATGCGCAATCATATTCTTTTTTGAAATAATATGTTTGTCCAATAGAGCTGAGATTTGCAGCAATATTTGGATGTCCATTGGGAAAAGTTTTTTTTCTGATGTTGAGAGCACGCATATAATAGTTGAGTGCATCATCAAATTTTCCTTGATTATTTAGAGCATTGGCAACATGATTTAAACTTGATGCGATATTCTCATGTTCAGCAGGAAGACATTGCTCATTCATTTTTAGACTTCTTTGATGATACTCTAAAGATTTATTCAATTCATCTTTATCACTGTATATCACTGCAATATTAGTTAATGCTTTAGCAATTTCCTTGTGAACACTGGGTAGATTGTGTTCTCGTATATGAAGACATTGTATTTGATAGGACAAGGCACTATCATAATCGCCTTTTATTCGATAGATATTGCCGATATTTCCCAAAATATTTGCCATTATGTAGTAATTCGAATAAGTCTCGCTTATTTTCAGAGCACGCAGAAAGTAATCTAGAGCCGTATCGTATTGTCCACGTATTTTATAAATCGAACCAATATCATTGAGTACAAAAGACGATGCTCCTTCACGTGAGGGAACGGTTTTGATTAATCTATCATAGGAGTCTTGATAATAGTTTAGAGCTGATTCATAATTTCCTTGATAATATTTGACGACACCTAAATAATAGTAAATGAACGATAGATCTTCTCTGTTTGCATTTTTCAATAAACAATCAAAATATTGCTGACATTTGTCGTATTCACCAATTTCGGCAAGAAGATACCCGAATAAAATCACTCTACTTCCGTGACTCATCAATTTTCGATGTTCCTCAATATATTCTTTCGCTAGTTCTGATCCTTCATCAACTGCTGTCATTTTCACTAGTACCATATTTGAAGATAGATTTCTTGTGACCGATTGTAATAGGAAGACTGCATCCAAATCGAATAGAAATTCTTGTTCATCTCGACATTTACTTAAATGAGCGATGCTAGCGACAACAATTGACTTGATCTTACCGAAATCATACTCAATTTCAAACAGAACATTTTCTTCTTCTTTGTTGTTTGATGAACCAGTAAATATGAGTGCCGCATCTTTCGAAAGGCTTGTTCATACATATCCATTGGTTGATAGAAGTTTACCCACATTGGCTTCTAACTTTTTCACTTCGTCACTGGACAATCGAACACCACGATACAATAGAATTATCGAATCGAAATCTTCTTGTTGTTGTTGAAACTCTTGTTCAAGTTGTTTACAAAGATCGTAAATGAAATAACGAAATGTATATAGAAGATTAATATCTTCAGTACGCAAAGCTCGATTTAGTTGTTTGTATAAAAATGGTTGTCCCGTATACCATCGAATACTATTTTCAGATTGGTATTCACGATCAAATTCCTCAATATTTTTCAATTGTTTTTTATTATTACGATAATATAATCTTAGTTTTTCAATCATTTCATCTTTTGCTTGTTTGTCATGTGGCAAGTTTAACACGACATCTTTGAATATACGTAACCAGAGAAATGCACCGGCTTCTTTCGATAAGTCACGCGTGGATTTCTGACGTTGCTCATAGAATCTGAATGATTCTGATTGCTGAACAGCTAAGTCGATATTGTCTTGAATCGATTGTATTAAATCTATGTATTGATTAAAGGTACCGATAATTTTGGAATATTTCTCTAGTAAACCTTCATATTGTTGTTCAGAAGAATAAATAAAGACTGAGTCCAATTGTCTTAAATCATGAATGACACATAAGATTTCTATGGCATCCATACACGATAAAATTAAGAATATTGTGTCTGTTTTAGGTACTGATTTGATATAATCCAAACACAGCTGCTGATCGACAAAAGAAAAAATAGCATAATCTTTAAATTCTTTTGTAATTGTTTCACCAATGTCGTCGATATGATACAGAATCAATTGAATTTGTGTCAACATTCTCTTAACCGATGTCCACGCCACAAGAAAAATAAAAACGAATCGATGTCGGATTTTCGAATACCTGCAACACTTTCAATGTCAAGACAATAAGAAAATCTTCTCAGATTATGGCAATGACAAG